GCAGAGAAAAATGTTTGTTTAGAAATCTAGGAGCATATTGACAAGTGTTTGTGAATGATTATAATTCATATATAAAACAATAATAGTTGATTTGGTAAATTAGGCCTTTTATTTGAATGCCCATTCTGAATAAAATGTCAACATGATTTTAAAAGAAGTATATATAGCAAAGCTTGTCCATATTATAAAGGAATACATGTGGGTTATAAACCCTAGTTCATCTTATCCTGTCAGAATGATCTTTGTATTAAATTGTCAAATGCAGAAAATCATTATTTTGTGTGAGGAGGTGAAGTCAGAATACAGTAGTAAAATTGTTATAAATCACTCAGCAAAAAAAGTAGGAGGGATGGGAAAAATACTACCCCCAAAGACAAAATGATTTGTTGTTTAAATAAAAACAATAGAAGAATATAAAGTGTGTCACCAAATGACCATAACTTGGTGCATAATTATTAAATAAATCATTAAATATATGTTATAGTTAATAGGTTATTAAATTAAGGGTAATAAATAATACTTTTCACCATCTAAAATGTGTTCTCTTTGTAATAACTAGGAAAGCATCATCTGATATTTTACCCTAGCAACTAGAGTCATACCTTAGTCACAGAAATAGCAAGCTCAATATATTTCATTTTCATTAAATGACTACTTTATGTCCCCACATATTTTTAATATTCTTTTTTTGGAGGGAGTACCAGGGATTGAACTCAGGGTTGCTCGACCACTGAGCCACATCTCCAGCCCTTTTTTTTTGTATTTTATTTAGAGACAGGGTCTCACTGAGTTGCTTAGCACTTCACTATTGCTAAGACTGGCTTTGAACTCTCAATCTTCCTGCCTCAGTCTCTTGAGCCACTGGGATTACAGGCATGTGCCACCTCACCCAGCTATTCTTAATACTCTTTCATGCCCTTTTCCTCTGAACAAGGTAAAGGTTTGAAAGTTAACTAATATGACCCCACTTCTTGAAAATCTGAGTAAGCTAATAAACCATCCATCTTACAGAAAACAGTTATAGTATCTGCACAAAATATAAAGGAATAAACGTACAAAGTTAGATATGTGTAATGTAATCTCTGGAACAACCCATTAATATGTAAAGATCCATAGCCCTCAAACTCATTGGTAATTAAAAAATGAGTGTTAAAAATAATCAAATGATAAACTTAGGTGCACTAAATGCAAATGATCTAAAAACACCAATTGAAAGACTGGCTTTAGAAAGAGAGAGACTGCATTTATCTACTATTTAACTCATTTTATTATTTTTTAAAACTTTAAAATTTTTAATTTGTTCTTTTTAGATATACTTGATAGTAAAGTATATTTTGACATGTTATGCATACATGGAGTATAATTTATTCTAATTAGGATCCCATTCTTGTGGTTGTACATTATGTGAAGTTTCACTGGTCATGTATTCATAGATGAATATAGGAAAGTCATATCCAATTCATTCCACTGTCTTTTGCTATTGCTATCTCCCCTCCCTTCCCTTCATTCCCTTTTATCTAATCCAATGAACTTCTTTTTCTTTCCCCTTCCCTCATTGTGTATTAGCATCCACATATCAGAGAGAACATTTGACCTTTGGGTTTTGGGGATTGGCTTATTTCACTTAGCATGATATTCTCCATATCATTCATTTACTGGCAAAAGTTATAAAGTTGTTCTTTTTTATGGCTGAATAATGTTTCATTGTTATATACCACATTTTCTTTATCCATTCATCTGTTGAAAGGCATCTAGGTTGATTCCATAGCTTAGTTATCATGAGTTGAGCTGCTATAAACATTGATGTTGTTGTCACTATAAGTATGCTGATTTTAAATCCTTAGGATATATTCCAAAGAGTATTATAACCCAGTCAGTTGGTTCCATTCAATTGGTTCCATTCCTAGTTTTTTGAGGAATCTCCATATTGCTCTCCATAATGTTGCACCAATTTGCAGTTCTACCAGCAATGTATGAGTATACTCTTTCCCCCATATTCTTGCTAACATTTATTGTTGCTTATATTCTTGATTGTTGCCATTCTGACTGGAGTGAGATGAAATTTCAGTGTAGTTTTTTTTTTTTACTTAAAAAAATTGTTTTAATTAGTTATACATGATGGTAGAATGCATTTTGACACATTGTACACAAGTGGAGCACAACTTTTCATTCCTTTGGCTGTACATGGTGCAGAGTCACACTGATTGCATAATCATGCCTTTATTTAGGGTGATAATGTCTGTTTCATTCCACCTTCACACTCACCCCCTCCTATCCCTTCACTCCTGTTGCCCAATCCAAAGTTCCTCCATTCCCCCCTACCCCACATTATGGATCAGCATCCGCTTATCAGAAAACATTGGACCTTTGATTTTTTGGGTTTGGCTTATTTCACTTAGCATGATATTCTCAAGCTCCACCTATTTACCTACAAATACCATAATTTTATTTTTCTTTAAGGCTGAGTAATATTTATATACCATATTTTCTTTATCCATTCATTTGTTGAAGGGTACCTAGGTTGGTTCCATAGCTTAGCTATTGTGAATTGAGCTGCTATAAACATTGTTGTGGCTGTGTCACTGTAATATGCTGTTTTTAAGTCCTTTGAGAATAAAGCAAGGAGTGAGGTAACTGGGTCAAATGGTGGTTCTGTTCCAAGTTTTCTGAGGAATCTTCTGCTTTCTAGAGCGGGTAGATCAATTTGCAGTCCCACCAGTATAGTGTACCTTTTTCCCCACATCCTCACCAACACTTATTATTGCTTTTATTCTTGATAATTGCCATTCTTTTTTTTTTTTTTTCTTTCTTTTTGTACTGGGAATTGAACTCAGGGGCACTCGACCCCTGAGCCACATCCCCACCCCTATTTTGTGTTTTATTTAGAGACAGAGTCTTACTGAATTGCTTAGTGCCTTGCTTTTGCTGAGGCTGGCTTTGAACTGGTGGTTCTCCTGCCTCAGCCTCCTGAGCTGCTGGGATTATAGGCAATAATTGTCATTCTGACTGGAGTGAGATGGAATTTTAATAACACTTTTCGTTTGCATTTCTCTAATTGCTGGAGAATTTGAACATTTTTTCATGTGTTTATTGGCCATTTGTATTTCTTCTTCTGGGAAGTATTTTTTCAGTTCCTTTGCCCATTTATTTATTGGGTTATTTGTTTTTTGGTGTTAAGTTTTCTGAGTTCTTTATATATCCTGGAGATTAATGCCCTAACTGAGGTGCAGATGGCAAAGGTTTTCTCCCCATTCTGTAAGCTTTACTTTTACATTCTTGATGTTTCCTTTGCTGTGAAGAAGCCTTTTAGTTTGATAACTGTCCCATTTATTGATTCTTGATTTTACTTCTTGTGCTTTAGGAGTCTTGTTAAGGAAGTAAGTTCCTGAGCCAGTATGTTGGAATGTTGGGCCTGCATTTTCTTCTAGTAGATGCAGGGTCTCTGGTCTAATGCTTAGGTCCTTGATCTACTTTGAGATGAGTTTTGTGTAGGGTGAGAGATAACTCATTTTAAACACAATCATCTTGATAGTTATAAACTGAAAGCTGTAATGGTGATGTTAACATCAGAGAAGTAGAATTCAGAGCAAGGAAAACAAACAGGACCTTACGTTAAAAGGGCTGATTCAAGAAGAATTCATAACAATCCTAAATGGGCTAAATGTGTGTAAATCTTGAAAGTAACTGCATTTTTTTTTCACTTTGTGTGTGTGTGTGTGTGTGTGTGTGTGTGTTTGTAGGGATTGAACTTAGGTGGATTCTACCACTGAGTCCATATCCCCACCCCGTTTTATTTTTCACTTTGAGATAGGGTATCACCAATTTGCTGAGTCTGGCCTCGAACTTGTGATCCTCTGCCTCCTCTGAGTAGCTGACATTGCAGACATGCACCACCACCTCCAGCTAGCTTTAAACTTTCTGAGCTGAAATAACTGTTGAAAGATAAGCATATCCACAATTATACTTGGATTTTTTTTTTTTGGTACTTTGAACCCAGGGTCACTTTAACACTGAGTTATATTCCCAGCCCTTTAGTCCTGCCCCTTTTGTGAGGCAGTTTCTCACTAAATTCCTTAGCACCTTGCCAAGTGACTGAGAGGCTAGACTCCAACTTGTGATCCTCTTGCCTTAGCTTCCCATGCTACTGGGATTACAGGCGTATATAACCATGCCTGGCTTTGAAATTCTAACTCACAAATATTATTCAGAAATAGAAAAAGTAAGCAAAAAATCATAAAGACATTAAAGATCCCCAAAATATTAATGATTAACTTGAATGAATATTTACAGAATACTCTAGGTGTTCAGGTGTATATGTACGTGTTACCAAGCTACATCATGTTCAGAGCCACAAAAGAAGCTTAAACATGTAATTCCTTTTTACATTACTAGTATGATAAGTAGGTATATTGAATAAAATTGCAAAAAGATGAGTTTTAGTTCCATGGGTGTTATAATTTTCATAACTCATTGTTCTTGAAATGATTATGGATTCTCTAATTTTGTTCTTAAAGAATTCTCTTTGGCTGGGTGCAGTGGTACATGCCTGAAATCCTAGTGGCTCGGGAGGCTGAGGCAGGATGATGGAGAGTTCAAAGCCAACCTCAGCAACTTAGTGAGGTCTTAAGCAACTCAGTGAGACCCTGTCTCGAAATAAAATACAAAAAAGAGCTGGGGATGTGATTCAGTGATTGAGGGCCCCTAGGTTCAATCCCCAGTTCAAAAAACAGAACAGAACAAAACAAAAAACTCTCTGCCAGTGACATGGAAAAATCACAATACCTGCACATTTAGTAGTCAGCTTTACTGATATATCATCAAGTTGGATGTGCACAATAAAAAGATGTTTTAATTTTTCATTTTGGAAATTTTTATGTCCTTGCTATTTTTTGTTGGTAATAATTTAATATTTACAAATAGTTTTTGAAAGTATTTATCCACATACATAATAATTTTTATTTTTATCCTGTTTGTTTTTTTTTTTCCCCCTTGTCTTCCAGGAATGCTTTTAGTCACAACAGACACACTTGGCCATGACTTTCACGTCTTCCAAATTCTGACACATCCTTGGTCCTCATCACAAAGTGCTGTCCACCATCTGTACACTCTTCACAGGGGTGAAACTGAAGCTAAGGTAAATTGTGTATTTTTCCAAAAGGTGATTTCAGTGTATAATATGACATCTAATCTAGTTGGTCATTTTTATCACGTTGGAGCTTAATATTTGTGAGAAGGTGTTGTTTTCTGTGATAGAATGGGTAAGAGTAAATTTAAAAAAAATTCTTCTTTTGACCCAACAACTACATAAGCAATAGATGACCACCTTATGGTTAAACATTCAAAGAATTTTGATGCAGTGGTGTTTCAGCTTATCAGCTTATTTTGTTCCTTCTACTCTTCTACCATTTCTTACTCCAGAGAAAACACTCCATTCACTTGATGTCTTTTTCTCCAGACCTTTTAGTATGTTATTTTTGTTCTTTTTACATATCTAAGTATGTGCATACACATGTGTACATATATATATGTATAAATACACATTGACAAGTACACAAAATAATTTATTTTCTTAATGAATATGGTTATCCTGGAGGCTGTTCACTATGGCTGTTGAGAACTAATTTTGAGGGGTAGGTACCAGGGATTGAACTCAGGACACTCAACCACTGATTCACCTCTCCAGTCCTATTTTGTATTATATTTAGAGACAGGGTCTCACTGAGTTGCTTAAGGCCTCACTAAGTTACTGAGGCTGGCTTTGAACTCTTGATCCTCCTGCCTCAGTTTCCTGAGCTACTGGGATTACAGGTGTGTGCTGCCACACCTGACTGAGAAGTAATTTTTTGCATCTGTCACCACCCCTGCAGTTGGTGACGTCAGTATGGTAGGTAGTGAAAGATCATCCATGGTGGGTCTATATTGGATCATGAAAATTGTCAAACATTACAAATCAGGGTTACCTAATCTTTTTCCTCAGAGAGCCAGTGCCTAAACATTTACACTCACAATTGGGCAAACATGCATGGCACAAGTACATTCATCCACGTACTTTACTGGGTGTTTTATTAAGCACCATGCTTACTAATTTACATGTACTTAATATTCTTAATACCAGTATTACCGGTAGATACTGTGTATCATCTAATGTAGCCTAAAAACCCAGATAACTTTTTGTTTCATAAGGACATTGGCTATCCATTCACTCTATATTTGTCATTCTAGGAGATTGTTGAATGATCCTATATGATATATGGAGTATTCCATATTTTTTCAAAAGCCTAAAGTGTTGTTTCACCAAAGTAAATGCCTATAATCAAATAAAACATCTTAAATATATAGAAATTAATCAGTGCAAAATGAAAAATAACAACAACAACAAAAGGCATTGAACTTTACTGCAAGTAACTTGTTCCTTTCTATACTAAAAATTGATAAATACAGGGATGGTATCTAGCATTTATCCTGCCTTTCTTATGTCAATTTAATAAGATACTGAATGAGGGAAAGTTTTTCTGTGAAAGAATTCCAACATAAAAATAAGTAGAAGAATAGAATTTTCTTAAATTAGTAGATAATCATTAGTCTAGTTTTAGTGGGTTAATCTTACATTGCTAAAGTAAAACTGGTCTTAAACCAATATGATACAACATGGTATTTACAACATTATCTATGATTTATTATTGCCCAGCCTTTTAAATTAAACTTGTATCTAATTTACCTTCTAGATGTAAGTAGTAAATTTTTTTTTTTTTTTTTGGAACTGGGGCTTGAACCCAGGGGGCTCTACCAGTAAGCCATATCCCTAGCCCTTTCTATTTTTTTATTTTCATACAGGTCCTACTGCATTGCTCAGGGCTTCACTAAGTTGCCTCATCCTCCTGAATCACTGGGATTACAGGCGTGTTCTCCCATGTTCAGCTATAATTAATACTTTAAAGAAAATACATAGTGTGACAAGGGAAACAACACTATTAGAATACAACCAGCCAATTCTAGAATGTTCTAAAATGTAAATGTGACCTCTTTTTTTTCCAACAAATAATTTTAATAGGAAAATAAAAGTTGGTGTTTAGTAGAGGAAAAGTGAACTGTTGTAGACTAAGGGAGACAGAGAATATCATCTGAATACATAGTGTGGGCCTCATTGAATCTTTTTTTCCCACACAAACCAAAACAGAAAAAATATTTTTCATACAAATAATAAAATTTAAATGTTTGACTTATGAGATGATTTAAAGGAATTTTGAAAACCTCATTTCTTAGTGATAAGTACTGCAATTGCTGTAAGTGATAAGTATTGCAGTTGGTATAAAGATACCTGGAATTTGATTTCAAATAATCTAGCAGTAGGAGAGCATAGTTTAGAAAATACAACAAATGAATGAGAAAAGAAAAGGTAGGGAACAATGTGTGAAGAGACGTTTTTGAGACAGTTGGAGAATATTGTCCAGCAATTGGGTATTATTTGATATTTACCAAGTATTATTAAATTTTTGGTTGTTATTAAATTGCTAATTTGCATTAAAATTCTGTCAAGACAGAACAATGATATATATTTAATAAAATTTATAAAATGTTAATAATTATTGAAGGTGGGTGATGTCCTTGTAAGGTGGTACATTTTATCTTATTTTAAAATTTTTACATTTTAACATTTTGAATATGTTTAAAATTTTTTTCTCTGATAAAGTAAAAATAAAATAAAACCTGTCAGTATTATGCTTTTTTATTTACTTCATAACATGATTTACTCTTAATTTTCTAAATCTTTATTAGCTATTGTGTTTAGAGTAATTCTTTTGACTAATACAAAGGATATTGTGGAGATTTTTTGTTTGGATCACATTGAGATTACATTTTTATATTGTTAGAATTAACATTCTTATGTAAGAGAATTTTTGCATGTAGGAATTATTACAATTTAAAATTAAACCATTCTAGTATGGGAAAATACTAGTATGGCAAAATATTATTGTTTTCTACCAAATTCATATCTTCCTGCTTTGGTAGACTCTCTTATGAGATTAAATAGTTTCCAGCAAATTTTCTTTGTGAAATATATTTTCTGAAAATTGCAATAGATTTTTGCTTTTTTTAAAAAAAATTTTAATAGTTGTAGATGGACAGCATGCCTTTATTTTATTTATTTTTTTATGTGGAACTGAGAATTGAACCCGGTTCCTCACACATGCTGGGCAAGTGCTCTGCCACTGAGCTACAGCCCCAGCCCAGGTTTTTGCTTTTTCAGTTTTATTTTTCTACATTATTACATTAACTAAGAACTATAAACCATTGTGCAATATAGTAGTGGATTTTTTATTGTTTTGCTTTATTTCTACCATCTTTGTTTTATAAGTAATACATAAAAACATTTGGAAATTCAATTTTAATTTTTTGAATGTAAGTTTTGTTCAGTTTGAGGTATATGGAGCAAAACATCAAAGTTATCCATTAGTGTGTCTGCTCCTTGAGCAGCTTTGCTTTATTATGACTTGTTGTGCCTTCTTTAGATCCCTTCCATATTTACATAGGTTCCCCCTACCCTTCCCCTGTACTAGGGATTGAAACCCAGGGTTATCTACCACTGAGCTTCATCCCCACACTTTTTTTTATATAATCCCAGTGATTTGGGAGGCTGAAGCAGGATCATCTCAAGTTTGAGGCTAGCCTTGGCAATTTAACATGGCCCTAAGCAACTTAGTAAGACCATGTCTCAAAATAAAAAAAACTAAAAAGGGCTGAGATGCACCTCAGTGCTGAAGCACCCCTGGGTTCAATCCCTAGTACTGAAAAAACCAAAAACAAACAAAAATCAGTGGTTTTATCACTCTAATTTGAATTCTAATATTTACAGATTGTCTGATAGTTTTTAATAGCTACATGCTCTCATTTCCACTTAATATTTTAAGGAAAACCCCAACTTACTGCTTGATAGGCTCTTGGCATTTTCATGGTCCTAACTCTATTTCAGCTTTATTTAAAATATTTAAACATGGAATTCTTATCCCTTACTGAGCATTTTTTTCTGATTTTTAATTCTTATTGCCACAATTCAGAAGAAACGATAGATATGAAATTTAAGAGACTGTAGATATGAAAAAATATGCATTTTTTTCTTCAAATCAGTTATTGTATCCTGAAGTTAAAGTTGAGAAATCTTAGCCTTTTTTTTAATGTCATGGTAAAATGCATTTAACATAAAGTGTACTATTTTATGTATTTCTAAGTGTACGGTTCAGTGGTGTTAAGCACATTGCCATCGTTGTGCAACCATTACCATTATCTGGGTAATCTTAGTTTCTGGCAGTGTTTTTCTGGCAGCTAAGTTTTTTATGCTCTTGACATCAAACGTTTTATACTAGCTCTTCGTGGGTAAGAATCTGGAGAATATAGAGTTTTAGCCACATTCAGTATCGTCTCATTTCTTTTAGTGTTCCCACCATGCAAATTATTATTTATGTGTAAATTTTAGTTCATTCATGGACAAATATGAGAATATTCAACTTCTCATAAATACAATGTCTGCCTTCCTCCCTAGAGGTCTTGAACCCCAGAATACTGTCACAGAGCTACATCCCCAGTCTTTTCATTTGTTTGTTTGTTTTTATTTTGAGACTAGGTCTCTTAAATTGCTGAGGCTGACCTCAAACTTGCAAGCCTCCTGACTTAATCCCAAGTAGCTGGGATTACAGGCATGCACCACCATGCCTGGCTACTGCCTAATTTCTTCCAACCAGAAGAAATTTTAAAAATATTTTTACTTTCTTGAGTGTGAAACATATTTATTATATCTCTTATTTAAGAAAACATCTTATAAGAATTACTTCTAAAATTGCTGCTAAGGTTAATAACAATATCAAATTAAGACTACACTGAAATTTTGCCTCACTCCAGTCAGAATGGCAATTATCAAGAACACAAGTAACAATAAATGTTGCTAAGGATGTGGGGAAAAAGGTACACTCATACATTGCTGGTGGGACTGCAAATTGGTGCAACCACTGTGGAAAGCAGTATGGAGATTCCTCAGAAAAATTGGAATGGAACCACCATTTGACTCCTCAGTATATCCCTCAAAGGACTTAAAATCAACATACTATAGTGATACTATAGTGTTTGTTTGTTTGTTTTTAT